TTCCAAATCCCCCTTGGAGGGCAGTGCTGCTTCTAGGAGAGAAGGGCTGACCCTCCGAGGGAAAAGCGATCGATCTCATTAGAAGGAGGAGTATTCGTTTGGGAACGAGCTCAGCTGCGAAAGGAAAGCGACCCCAGATGCAGACAGGACGATTCCTGTCACGCAGACCGTGTGGCCAGGCTGGCAGGGCCGCTCTGTCCCCATGTCACTCAGGTAGCCAAGTTCTTGCATCGTTGCCGTCACGTTCACAGTGGAGGCGGCTCGTGCTCACAGGACGTGGGGCCCGGGAGGCCGGGGCAGACAGTGTCCTTTGAAGGAGGTGATAGGTGTGGAGCTGCACCTGTCATTCTCCCTCGTATCCTGGGGTTTGGAGACGAGGCCATTCCTGGCTGCAGGGTGCCCTGGGAAATCCAGGCTCTAGCCAGGCAGCTGTGAGTCCATTGAAACTGTTACTGGGGTAAGAGGGGGCGACAGGTTTCGAGGGGCCAGGAGCCCGCTCTAGGAGCCTGTCCGGGAGCGGGAGCGGTGGGTTACCTTCCCCTCCTCTCCCACCTGTGACTTTGCTGTCGTCCCACCCCAGTTGCCATCTACCTTGGGATCAAACGGAAACCGCCCCCCGGCTGCTCCGATTCCCCTGGAGTGTGAAGCTGACCAGCTCGCGCCCGCCCGAAGCCCTGATGGCGGCTCTGCGCCAGGCCACCGCGGCCGCCCGCTGCCGCTGCCGCCAGCCGCAGCCGTTCCTGCTGGCCTGCCTGCACGGGGGTGCGGGCGGGCCCGAGCCCCTGTCCCACTTCGAAGTGGAGGTCTGCCAGCTGCCCCGGCCAGGCCTGCGGGGAGTCCTCTTCCGCCGAGTGGCAGGCACCGCCCTGGCCTTCCGCACCCTCGTCACCCGCATCTCCAATGACCTCGAGCTCTGAGCCACCGTGGCCCTGGGTCCCCTCCTCTTCCTCTTCCTTGTCCTCTTCACTTCTCCCGGAGGGAAGGGGGTCAGGGAGGGGATTCTCCCTTTGTCACCCCCTCAGTTTTCCCGAATTTGATTTGGGGGCAGAGACTGTCCCCTCTGCTGTTCTCCGGGGACACTCGACATGAGAGAAGAGCGAGGGGGCTTAGCAGAGGGAGCTGGCACCTTCCTGGAGCCTCCCGCCGACCCTGCCCCCCTCGCCATGCCATGGGGCATCTGAGGAGACTTTGGGGGCAGGGCAGGGGCAGAAAGAGAAACTGAGGACACTTCCATTCCTCCCAACAGTTCAAGAATTAGGCCGTGGGCAGGGGCAGGAAGAGTTGCTGAGCCTAAAGACTGGAGGATTTGGGGGGCTGGGAGTGGGGGTCAGAGAGGCAGAGTCCTTCCCCTCCCCGACCCCTCGTGCTCGAACCCCCCACTTCCTGCCCCAGGCTGGCGCGGGGCACTTTGTACAAATCCTTGTAAATACCCCATACCTTCCCCTCTGCAGAGATCTCTCGAGGAGCTGCCGCTGTCACCTCCGGTTTTTAAGTTATTACACCCCTACCCTCCTGTCAGCCCCCTCACCTGCAGCCTATTGCCCAATAAACTTAGGAGAGTCCCCCTGCCCCACACTGACCCTGGGGTTTTGCTTCCCTGCCCTCATCTGCAAGTGAGATGAAGAGGAGGGGCCAGTGGTTTCTCAGTGTCCTCATCTGCAGGATGGGAGCAGAGGGGGTGTGAGGGTCGAGGGTGAGCGTGGAAGAGGGCAGGATGGAACTCGGCCTCATCCACGAGGCCCCCATTCCTATATGGGACCCCCGTTCATCCACTCGTGCCCACCCACACGTTATACTGGACTCTAAGCCACTTCTTACTCCAGTAGTACGTTTATTCAATAAACAGTCATCGACCGGCGCCTGCTCCGTGCCAGGTCCGGTGCTGGACATGGAGACACAGGAGCCCCCGTTTGTGGGGGACGTGGGGTCCGACACAAACACTAGAGAAACCATTGCCTTGAGGAGCCTGGAAGAGAAAGGTTGGGGAGGCACTCCAGAGGAATCGGTGCCTGAGCTGGACTTTGAAGGATGAGTGGGAGTTGACCAGGTATTGGGTCTGCGGTGGGCGAAAGCCTGGAAGTGGGGGTGCATGGTACATCTGCGGAGAACTGTGGGTAATTTCATCGTGGCTGCTGTGTCGAGGGTGGGTGGAGAATTAGCAAGAGAAATGCTGTATTAGGACTAATAATCCATCTACACTTAAGCAAAAAGCTTTTTGTTCGCTTACGTTATTTAACGATCCAGGGGTGCCTGGCTGCAGGCACAGCCGGATGCCGGCAGCAGGCTTGCTCACCTCTGCTGTGTTTTTTCAGTGTGAGTTTCATGCTAGTAGTTTAATCCGGTGGGTACTCCCTGATGGCAGAGATGACCCCGGATGTTCCTCATTGCCAGCTTCCTGCAGAAGTCCCTAGACAGGTTCTCACTGGTCCAGAAAAGTCAGGCAGTCATCCCCGAACCAAGTGGCCAGGCCTGTGCCCACATCTGGACTTAGAGGGGGTTCCTCAAAGGGAAGTCAGGGTGTTGTGAGCAGGAGAAGGGGATGGAAGCACAACAGACTGAAACAATTCAGGGGTGTCCAGTACCCCGGAAGGCCAGGGCTCAGTCATCCAGGACTTTGTGGGCCAAAGTAAGAAAGCTGGGCTTTCATCCGAGGCCACCGGCGTGCCATGGAGGGTTATGTGCAGGGAAGAGGCTTAAGTGTGCCTCAGTTGCCCATTTGGGGCACTGTAGGGTCAACGTTTGTCTTCCTGGGGCTGATAGGAAAGCCCTACAAACTTCAGGGTCTGGGCAGACACATTCCTGTCTCACGAGTGAGGCCAGAAAAGGGGACTGCCTAAGGGTTTTTATAGTTGAGAGGGCAGAAAAATGGCGTCGAGGGAACCAGTCCTTTGCTAGAGACAGTGGTGACCGAGACAGTCCCAGCGCTGGCCCCAGGGCTCAAGGTCCTCAATGATGAATAGGAAAGCCCTGCAAACTTCAGGGTCTGGGCAGACACATTCCTGTCTCACAAGTGAGGCCAGAAAAGGGGACTGCCTAAGGGTTTTTATAGTTGAGAGGGCAGAAAAATGGCGTCGAGGGAACCAGCCCTTTGCTAGGGACAGTGGTGACCGAGACAGCCCCAGCGCTGGCCCCAGGGCTCAAGGTCCTCAATGATGATCCAGAGGGGGCAGGGCTGGTATGGGGGAGGCCAACGGAGGTGCTGATCAGCCGGGGAGGGTTTCCTGAAGGAGCGGCTCGCTAGACACGACGGGATGGGGGTGGGAAGGTACATGTGTTCTAGGTCGAAGGAATAGTGTACAAATGAACGGCTGGCAAGCAAGAGAGAGTACAGGTCCTTTAGCAAATGGCGTACGAGTCAGGGTGAGTCTAGAGTCACTGTGAGAGAGGAAGCTGGAGATTCTGGCAGGGTCCTGGGTGTTGTGGAGAGAGGCCTGGGCCTCCTTCCAAGGGCACCGGGGAGCCATAGTGAGGCTGTGAGCAAGGGAGGGGTAGGGGCGGGATTGCATTGTGAAGGGAGGGAAGGAGACAGATAGGAAGAATAGAGAGGAAGTTGGGTGGGACAGAGGGGGCGAGAGAAGGGTTGGATTTAAGGTTTATGAGGCAAAATGGGCAGGACGGGCATAGTAGCTGACGGACGCTTGGGGCTGCAGATTTGGCTGGCTCAGCCATCTGGGCTGCAGTGTTTGTGGTTTGTGTGGCCTCTGGGCAGTGGGGTGAGGGTCAGAGCTGGGATTAGTGACCGGGATCTTCAGTTGGGGATAATATTGTGAAGGACATTCTGGCATCCGATAGGCCTTGCATGTCCTGGCCTTTGGGGCCTCTCCTAACCTTCCTCTTTCAGTAATCTGTGGGAATTCTGGGGGAATCCTGGGACTCAGTTTCCCCTTCCTGCTCCTTCATGGGACTAAGCTCTCCAAATGGCCAATCTCTAAAGACTTAATGGGGGTGCTCTGACGCATGCCCCAGTTTGGTGGGGGGGACACAGCTTGGGCAGAGACGTTAAGATGGGAACTGCAGGGTGGTGTAAGGAGCGAAAGAATATATATAAGAATCGTGAGGAAAGAGCTGGAAAGATGAGCCTTCAGCAAAGGGTATGCGTTTCCGTTTGAACTTGAAGAGTTGCAAATAACAGTGTGTCTTAGGAGATGTGGGAGCTATGGCAGCTTCTCCAGCAAAGTCAGGGAAGTTGAACAGACTGGTAGCAACTACAGACAGATGAAGTCAGACCACACAGAAGGACGCCAATAAAAAGCATAATGAGGTACATGTGATGAGACGCGTGGGTGGGCTCCGACTGGAGGCTGGTGGGCCGAATTCAGGTCTCACACATTTTGTTTGGCCTGCGTCTCTCCCTCACGGGGACCGCTCTTTGAGATCTGAGCACGTGTGATCAGGAGTCGAGGTTGGGAAGGGCCCAAGTTTGGCTATGTGACACTGGGCCACACCTCTCTGGGTTTCATATTTCCCATAGAGCCTTGTAATTTTTGAATTACACTCTGTACTCTAACTTTGCCTCATTTTAGAGATGGGATAAAACGTGCCTAGTATGTGCCAAGAGGGCGAACCCCTTCGAGGTCACACAGCGGCCAATTACGAAAGTCCCTCCTCCTCCCCCTCCCTCCATAGCCATCGCACACAAAGCTAAGGCCACCATTGCTTTTATTAGTTGCTTTGAGTGGAGAAAAAGCATGAGCTCCAGATGTGTAAAGGCCTCGCCCGTTCGCCAGAGCTCCTGCTGGTGGGCGCAGCTCTGGGAAAAGGAGAGGAGGTTGTGACGGAGGTTTCTCGTTGGCCAGAACCCAGAGGATGGAGCCCGCTGGTTGGAACTCTGGTAGGAACTGGAACGCCCAGAAGGGTGAAGAGAGCCCCCAGTTGAGCGAACCATTACGAGCGGGCCTCCAGGGGGAAGGGGCGGGGCAAGGGGAAGGGGCGTGCCTCCGGCGGGCTGAGTCCTCCCTTTGGCTGGGGCTCCAGCAGTCGGCGGCGGGCGGGCTGGGCGCCTATTTCTGGGCAGGGATCATGTCGTCGATGGACTGTCCCTTTTCCAGCTTCTTCTCCATCTCCACCATGAGCTTCACACCGTCCACCACCAGCTGCACCTGTTCTACCTCCGACGAACCCAGCCGATCGGCGTTGGACACGTCGAACACTGAGCCCACGGCAGCGGTGTCCACGCCACCTGAGGGAGCAGGAGGCAGGGGCGTGAAGAGGACGCAGAGGTGCAGGAGCGGGGCCCGAAACGCGGTCCCCGTGCCAACTGCGACAGCTGCATGTATCGAGTGCCTACTATGTAACAGGTTATGTGCATGCAGAGCCTCCCAAAAGGCTGTCTATTCACGGGCCCGCGTCTCCGCCATCCAACAAGAAAAGATAGCACGGTGGGTAAGAGACTGAACTCTAGAGCCGGACTGCCTGGGGTCCAATTCTGACCATCCTCCCCTTTCCAGGTGGGAAACTGAGGCCCATAGGGGGCCGGGGACATACACATATCGTATAACCACGATGATATATCGACTCCCATGAGATAAGGCGTGCTGATGCCCATTTGCAGAGGAAGAAAGCGGCTCACAGAGGGGGCCACCTCTTGACGCATCCCCAGAACTCGTGGGGGATGCCCCACCTCCCGCTGCCCCGCCACATAGGGCCCGCCCCCGACGTCGCGGTGCGGGAGATGGAGCCGCACCTGTGCCCCGCTTCTGCAGACGCAGACGGCCGAGGATCTCCTCGAATTTGGGATGCTTGCTCAGGTGCGCTAGTTTCACGTGCACGCCCCCACGCAGCCCGGTGCCCAAGTTGGATGGGCAGGTGAGCACGTAGCCCAGGTGCTCGTTCCACATGAAGGGGTGGCCGGCTTTCTTGAAGATCTCCTCAATCTGAGGTAGGGGGAGAGGACCAGGAGTCAGCGCCAGCAGGCGCCTCCAAATACACGCGCAACGCAGACCGTGTTCGGAGGGAGGATGAGGGTGAGGGTGCGGCTGGAAACCCAGAGGGATGAGATTGTGAGGGGCGGGGCCCGACGACCCCGGGCACTGGATTCTGAGCGGGCTGGGCTTGGGGACGCTTTGGAGGCGGGTTCTTAGGGGCGGGGCTTTGAACATAGGGGTGGAGCCTCGGAAAGCGTTTGGGCGCGTCTGCGGGGCGGGGCTGGTGTAGAGGGAGGAGCCGGATTCCGAGGGGCGGGGCCTCGGGAAGAGGGTGGGGCGTTCAGGGTGGATTCGGACGGCAGCCTCCCGGGGCCCGCGCTCACCTTCTGCAGCCCCACGCAGAAGCGGCGGAAAACCTCCTTCATGTTGCCCCCCTTCTCCATGGAGATGACTCGGAGGTGGTCCTCCTCGTTCACCCACACCAGGAAGCTCTTGTTGTCATTGTGCCTGGGGTGGGGCGCAGCAAGAGGCCAAGGAATCAGCTCCGCCCTCTCTCAAACACATAACCCCCGCTAGGGGGCAGCGGGCTAAGGGGCATGAGGTAGCGGCATCCACTTCATCAGAATCGCAGAAGTTTACACCTGTACGCCCTTATCACAGATTCAGTGAAATCTCGAATCCTGGAATCAAGGACTTTTAGGATCTTAAGTCTTTCAACAGCATTAAATTATAGGCTCTTAGAATCTTAGAATCAGAAGTTTGGAATCAGAATTGATAAATCTTGGAAATCCTACATCTGGTCTCAGGACCAGTCTTTCAAATATCACATGGACATCTCAGAAAAAGAGTCTTAGAACATAAAAATATTTAAAATCTTGAAATCTTAGAATCATCCCATTTGTAAATCTTAGCACCTACACTCTCCAAATCATTTGAAACCTAGGTTCTTGTAACTTTTTAAAGTATTTGACTATCAGAATCAGCAATTCAAAGATTCACAGAAAGCCTAATCATCAACAATACGTATTAATAAAGATCATATTAATAGCTAAGATGTACTGAGCACTTATTATGTAGCATGCGCTCTTTTAAATACTTTACATAACTTAACTCATTAACTCTCACAAGAACCCCAACAGCTACGGATTATTGTAATCTCCATTTTCTAAATGAGGAAACCAGGGCAGAGAAACATTAAATAATGTGCCCTAGGTCACACAGCTCTCAAGCGGCAGCCTTGGGATTTGAACCCAGAGAGTCTCGGTCAAGTCTAAGTTCCTAACTGCCATTTCTCTGGTCCAAGTTTCCCAAAATGTGACACACAGACCACAGGGTAGGCAGGGGAGGAGGGCGAGATCATTTCCTGTGGTTCTTGGAAACATAATTACTTTTGTGGTCTTGACTTTGGTGGAGGAATAAGAAGGGTCGTGGGGGGACTGGAGAAGGCTGGGGAGAGGAGGTCTCACCAGATGCCACGGGCGTCGGGCCAGTCTCGGGCCATGCCGGAGGCCAGCAGCAGTGGGGACACAGGCTTGTCAAACAAGAAATGGTCATCGATGAGCTGCTGCTGCTCCTTCTCTGTCATGCTCTTCAGGGGGTAGTATTTCCCCTTGAACTCACCCGTCAGGCTGTTGAGGGCTGAGGGGCCACATGAATGAGTGGTCAGCAGCCTGCACCCCCTGAAGCCAGGTGTGGAGGCCTCAGGGATCCCACACTGCTGCCCTAAGGGGCCTGGGCTTTGGCCCCATGGATATCCTAAAGGTGCCTGAGTACTGTGTCTAAATGCAATGACCCCCCAAAACATGGTCCACCCCTGACAGCCCAGGGCCTAGGAACAGCCACACCATCTGCTCGAGCCAGAAAATAAGACTTTCCCCTTCCCTTGACCCTCACACCTGATCCACCTGTAAGCTGACAAGACAGCCAGTCTCAGGAATTTGGAGAGCCATCATTATAATATAGTATATATAGCATGTGTATGTATTCATATGTATAATAAATATATATTATGTTTATAATAAGTATATTTGTATATATGTATAATACATATACTGATATACATTTCACACATTATTTGTATCATATACTATATAATGTGTTATATATCATATACTATATACTATATTATGAAAAGTAAATTATGTAAGCTTACAAGTTACATTATATTTAAAACACAGGTAATAAATACTCAAAACTACCACTTACTAATGATTTTTCTACATTTCCTATTATTGATGTTCTTGAAGTTATGCTCATCTGTCGTTTCCGCGTGGCAGAAATGCTATGGGGTGATGTGCTCCCCTGTGCCTGTTCCCATCTCTGTACGCTGTCATGTCGCTAGCTTAAAATAAGCCGTGATGGGAGAATTTACACCACGGAAATTGGCCATTGCTGAAAGTCAGGGCTACATTTTTTTTTTTACTAGCTTAAAATAAGCCATGATGGGAGAATTTACACCACAGAAATTGGCCATTGCTGCAAGTCAGGGCTACATTTTTTTTTTTTAAAAAAAAAGTTGTTAAACATCTATCAGAACAACACGAGTCCCGATGGCTCTACCTCCGAAACACACTTTCTCCCATCCCGTTGCTATCCCTCATCCCTTACCTGGACCACTGCGGTGGCCTGCTCACGGTCACTCTGCTCCTACCTTTGCCCATAGTCTGCTCCCCACTCAACAGCCAGAAGGCTCCGTGTAAGTCGGAACCTGTTCTTCCTCTGCTCGCCACGCCCTCTGGACAGCCCACAAGGCTCTGCCTGACCTGACCTCATCCCTCGACCTCATCGCGCCCCTCGGCTCCAGCCACAATGATTTCCTTGCTGTTCCTACCCACCTCAGGGCCTTTGCACTTGCTGTTCCACCTGCTACAATTCTTCCCAAGGTGGGCTCCTTCTTGTCAATCAGGTCTCAACTCCTTCCTAAGGTAGCACCCCCCGCCCTGTCGTTTTCTGCCACACCCCCTCGTTTCCTGGATTCATGGCATTTTACAATTATCTTGTTGTTTTGTTGGTTTCTGTGTTTCCTCTCATCTCCCCACCAAGCTGACAGCTGTGTGAGAGCAGTGACATTGTCCATCGTATTCATCATGGGAGCCGCAGGGCCAGATCAGCTGTAAATGCTGGACGGATGGATGGATGGATGGATGGATGGATGGATGGATGGATGGATGGATGGATGGGTGGATGGATGGATGGATGGATGGATGGATGGATGGATGGGTGGATGGATGGCTGAATTTCTGGCTGGCTGGCTATCAGGACCCTGGTGCAACTGTTGTCTGCATGGACCTGCTTGGGGTGCATCAAGTCTTGACATAGCGCCCCCCCCCAGACTTCCACCAAGGAGAATGCTGCTTGCCGTCCCTCACCAAGCACCCATGAGTTACCAAGCAACTTCCCTGTTTTGGAAAGTGGGGCTCAGGGGGGCCCCAGGGATCTGCCCATGGAGGAGCAGAGCCAGAGCTGGGTGGGCCCTGGCAGTGGGCAGGTGGGGGCTCTCACCTTCCACAGAAAGTTTCTCCACAGCCCGGCGCTCCCCGCGGGAGCAGTGGGGTGGCAGCGTGTAGCCCTTGATGCTGCGGCCGGTGCGGACTCGGCTGCTGAGCACGTAGTTGGGGTCCAGGTCGTCTCCGCCCTGAAGGGCAAGTGGGCGTCACGTCCAGTTCCCTCTGGCTCTGGGCCGCTTCCTTTGGTTCCTCCTGCCCCACTGGCCTCTCCTTGGCTCTGTCTCTCTCTCCCTCATCTCTTCGTCTATTTTGTTTTTTTTCTCCATACCTCTCTTTCTCCATTTTATCTCCCCGTTTCTGTGTCTCTTCATCTCTCTCTGTCTCTGACTCTCTCCAGCCTCTCTGTGCGTCTGTTTCTCTCTTTCTACACGTCTGCTTTGTGCCTGCGTTTCCCTCTCTCCTCCACCCTTTTTCTACCCACCCCCGTCCCTCCCCCCTCGTCTGTGTTCTCTCTGTCTCTCTCTCTATTTCTCTCCATCTCTGTGCATCTCTGGATCTGGGTCTGAGCGCCCCTCCTACCTCCATCCTTCTTCGTTTCTGTGTCTCTCCTCCCTC